GGGAGATTTTACGATCCTACAGAGAAAGATTGTTTCTCCTCGAGCGAGCATTTCCATTCGAAATCTCATTAGCGATCGGATGAATAACTGGGGGTTTCTGATTGTGAATACGGTCACTCGCCGGTGTTTTCCACCCTCCGTGGACAACACCAGCCTGTCCTTTTCGCAATCTTCCCACCAGATCGATGCGAGCCCGCTATTAGGGACAGACACGCCGGCGACGCGATTCGATCGGCAACGAGGCGACCTCTCAACCAGCGTTCGATCGCGAATATACAGTGTGGATGTGCTCGCGATTTCAAATAAAAAATCTGCCCTTAACGCTATATAGCTGTGAGCTAGTCGCTCACTTTATCGTAGCCCTTCCAACACGTCGAAGACAAATTTATCGCGAGGGACACTTCAATGTCTTCGAATTGCGATAGATATCGGCGTAAGAGAGCCGATTAAAAATGATATATAAATTAACGTATCTATGAAATGGCGACGTAGTGATTTAGAGAGAGCTGCCCTTTCAACAATATGCTAATTTAGATCCGCAATATTTCTTATTAACTTAGTTAAGCGATAAACAGCGATAGCGATTGTCTACGTATACGTGTGAACTATGTAAACTGTCTTTTCACCCGTAAATTCTATAGACAATGCATAATTGACACAGTCGACGCTAATAATATCCGCGCCTCTGACGAGAAGGAAAAGTTCAACAAACCTTTTTTTTTCGAAAAAGAAACTGAGATTATAATTATTTTCTTGAGATACTCTTTTGTTGGGTATACAAATCAGCAGTAAGCGAATCATCATTTATCACAATTAGAAGTTTCCCCATAAAAATCATCTGTCTTATATAGCAAACTCTAAAATTACACTTTAATATAAATAAATTTAAATATGAATTATATTTAAAAAAAAAAAAAAATATATTCTATATAAATGAAATATAATAAATAAATAATTAATAGGACAACAATTGAGACCCCAACTTCCGTTATCGGAAAAGAAGAACTTGAAGAACTAGCTCCGCAATAAATTAATCAAAGAAACTCTTACAAAATTCTTCCAACACCACATATTATCATAATTTTCAGGGTATATAAATTCTGAGAGAAAATTCTCTCCGTGTAAATAAATAACTAACAATTAATAAACCAACAATGAAGACCCCAACTCCTGTCATCGGAAAAGAAGAAGAGTTCGAAGAACCAGCTTCGCAATAAATATAAATTGACGAAGAAATTGAAAGCGAGTGATTCGCGACGCAACAATGGAATCCAAACAGCTGTTTTCGTCGGTTGTCAAACGGTTCTCGTTGTACCCCAAATTCGAGCTCCCCTTTTGGGCGTGTACGCACCTTGCTGGACACCTACTGGCGAACAAGCCAGGGGGAGATCGAGCGCGCGATTGACTCGGGGCGAGATTCCGGCGTTTCTCTCTAACAGCTTCGATTTTCGGAGCAACTCCCAGAGTTCGCGTCGCTTCGTTTACCTGGCGGTGGTCTACGGTGGCTCTCGCGCGCGGCTTTAATCCACAGGACCTGGCCGATCGATCTCTCTCTCTCTCTATCTTTCTCTTCTTCGAAAAGGGCCGGCCTCGCGGAGAACTCGACCGACGACTCTACGCGACTCCGTGCTCGACGAGAGTGCACGAGCGTACTGAACCGCTGGTTGTCGCTTCGCTTCGACGCTGCGCTCTCCTCGCTTATCCTGGCTCAATGATTGGGAAGGGGTCGGAGGGGCAGGGGGGAGGAAAGAGAAGGAGAGATAATGAGAAAGAGGGACCAGGTGGGCGGAAAGAGTGTGTATACGCACGTCGCGACGTATGTTAAGGAGATACCTGGAGAGATGGCGGAGACGCGAAGGGAGGTTTTTAACAGAGAGGGAGGAAGAAAAGGCGCGGGTGGCGAACCGGATGTGTGTGTGTGTGCGTGCGATTCGGTTGATTCCGCTACGACTCGGTCGTGTTCGAGGAACTGGCGAGCGAGAAGCGGCTTCAGGGTTTGGACCAGCGCGCAAAAGGGAGAGTGCCGGCATCTGTTGTCACGTTCGCGAGATCGTTCGCGAGAATCGATTTTTCGAGCCGCACAGGTGTTTCGTCCGCGAGAAATACGCGTATCTATTTTTATTTTTTTTTTTTTTTATTCTGAAGAGTGTTTCAGCGTAGACGCGGGAGTTCTATTTTAGGTGTGAAAAAAAATAATTTTAAAAAAGTCTATTTTAAATTATAGGAAAGTAATTTAGAAAAAAAAACATGTTGCATCTCAGAATCACGGTGGATATAATTATAATTGATATAAATATAAATTATATTTTAAAAAGAAATTTAATTAATTTTTTATTTAAAAATTTAATCATAAAACAAAAATAATTTAGGAAAAAAACGATGTGACACCTCAGAATCACTGTAGATATAATTATAATTGATATAGATATAAATTAAATCTATATATAAATTATATTTTAAAAAGAAATTTAATTAATTTTGCATCTAAAAATTTAATCATAAAAAGAAAATAATTTAGGAAAAAAACGATGTGACACCTCAGAATAATTGTAGATATCATTTATAATTGATATATAAATATAAATTAAATCTATATATAAATTATATTTTATAAAAGGAGAAAATTCTGTCCTGATAATAATTTGATAAAAAAAAAGTGCGAATTGAAAAATGTATTTGCAAAACCTAAATCCATCGAATGATGCGCATCAAAATGCACAGTGAACGCGAGACACGTCAAGGGAAAGCTAAGGGTTAAAGCGTGTTTCCTGAATTATTTAATAGCCAATACTCACCGCGCGAATTATATACGGCTAGAATTTCCGATTGGGATTCATTCACGCTGAAAACATGAGCTCCACGCGCGTGATTGCAAAACTTTGACGTACGTAATCGCGCGCGTAAAAAGTCGCGATGATCTCATCAGAGAGATCATCGATTGATTAGAAAAAAAAATATGTATATATATATATATAATAGCTATCGTTCACTTTGCGTCTTTCGTATTTTACAAGAGAGATTTATATTTGCACTAGTGCGATCAGAACGTCTTCTAATCGAACGACTGCGAAGCATTATCAAATTAGTCTCAAGATGTTCGTAATCTTATCGTCACGTAAATCGCAATAAACGCGATAGCTCGTCCATCGAAATTATGAATTGTTAAATTGCCTTTGATTTTAAAATCGACAATATATCCCTTTTATTAAATAAAATGAAACTAAATGATACATCTTCGAGTTTCACTAGTTTTAGATATATTTCCAAAGTCTTAGATTTATAATTAAATATGTTTCCTAATTTTTTGGAATAAATTAAATTTGCGTAGCTCTCGCGTAGTTAAAGTTTTTCGAAAAATTGATTTTATTACTTGTATTAAATTGAACATACTTAAAAATTGAAACACAACAGCGGATTTATTTTTAGGAATTTAATTTAGCTTGGGAGAAACACCTAGGTGTAATGAGCGACAGTCATTCTCAAGAATAGATTATTATATTCTTGAAAGACGATGTGTCTTCCCGAGAGAGTTATCTACATAACTCTACCCACACATGTTTCTTTTAATAGTCGGTTACTTATCGCAAGACGCAATCATTATCGCGTTTGATTCGGTTAAACGACGATACTCGCGTCAAGAATATCTAATAATGTTTTTTGTGATATAAAAGATGAGACAAGACAGGATATAATATGGAATGTAATTTGAAAGAGTTTGTGCAAAAAAAAATAATCGTGCGCACATCGTAAATTAAAAGCATGATGAGGGGATAAAAGTTCAATATATCAAAAATTGAATAACACACTAAAAATGGCAAATATTACAAATCAGATTTAACACAAACCGAGTTTTATATGGATTCAAAAATATGCGATACTTTAAATGACCTTTTAAGATGATATTAATAGATTACAAATAGAGAGAAAATGCAAACAAATATATTTGCCGAACAATTATATGAGAAAATTCAACTCACAAAAATACGCGCGCAGATAATTTTAATATTCCATTTATATCTATTAACTTTATTATAATTCAACTTTTTTTATTAATTTAAATTATTATTATTATTAAAAATTTTAATCCAAAAATTAATAATTTTGATGAACAAAATTTGTGCGCATAAAGATTGCGTTAGCAAAAATATACATATATTTTGTCGCCTCATTTTGCATTATTTTAAGAACCAGTAAAGAGAAAATAAATATAGCTTTCATCTTTTATTGAAATGCGTTGCAAAGCACATCCGTTGCATCCATTCATGTTCGATATCCTGTTACATTAGATTAGACGAAGAACATCTGCCGAATTAAGCGCAAGATGGAAATGCAATGGGACGATTTGATTTTGCGCCTAAATCGATGATTTAACGAGTCGAGTCGAAATATTTACGTACGTCGATTTTCGCGTGATCTAACATTACTCGATGCATATATACATACGCATGTTATTTCGGTACCGGGTGCGCCAGATGATGTCACGTCACACACGCGTGTGGGCGGGCTTTCGCGGATGCAATTTACTACGATAATCGACTTCCGCGATCGAATCTTTGAGGCGCGAATTTACGAGAAACTCCATCTGCTCGTGAGAAATAAACCGGTGTATATATGTGTCGTGTTTGACATACGATGTAAGAAAAGCATTGCATTCCCTGTTCAATTAATTAATTATATAGACCGATTTACTTCTTTATATTCATATTATTTTAAAATAAAATGTATATTATTTATTATATTGTATATAAATTTTATATATAATATAATATCATATCATATAATATAATATAATTATATATATAATTTTATTATATATATAATATTATTTATTATATATAAATTTTGATATTCAAATATAATTGAAATTGATGCCCGCAGTAAATTTCAATTTAGTAATATAAAGTATTATTTAAAGATAAGATGAGAAAGAGAATGCAATACTTTTGATTCAATTCGTGATCGAATTTTCAATAATAATTTTATGTTGAATGGTTACTTACTCAGTATCAGGCACAGGTATCATAGGAGGAGGTAGGCGGCCATTGTGGTCCAAGAAGTGATTGATCTCAGGTTCCTCTTGCACTGGTGTCTCGTAGACGAGAGTTTCCACCATGGACCCTTTGCTCGAGCCGAAGGATACCCTAAACAATAAGGATTCTTCATAAAGAATCAGTAAAAAAATAAATATGTGCTTTAATTTTTTATCTGAGTACGGAATAATTCTTTTTTTTTTTAGATTAATTAGAATTTATATATTTAGAAATTTATTATACGAGGTACATTACCACGTATACGTTATGATGAATTAATACCTATATTTATGTTAAAAAATTATTTTACCTGTAATTTTAATTTATATTATATTAATTTTTGGATTAAAATTTTTTATAATAATTAAAATTAATAAAAAAAGGTTGAATTATAATAGATGTAAATGAAATAATTACGTATAAGTACACAAATCAAAAATCTAAATATTTCACATACATATAATAAAAATAAACATTGTTGAAAAAATTGGTAAGATTTTTCTTGTCAGTGCAATTTGAAGAAGATATTGTTATAGCTGAATAGTATGTCTCGATTTATCTCGGGTATCCTGTATTTGACACGCGATCGAAACAGGTCAGACGACGTCTGACTGTACGCGAAAAATATTCTTCGTAAACCTCAGTTTTCTATTGATTGACCGCAATCGGCGATCACGGAAGCGATATCAAAATCAAAATCCTACGATCGAATTACGATCGAGCATGGTCGAGATCGATCTATGCTGCAAACACACACATATGATACTTATTTATCATTTCCGGAAGCGATTTCTCGACCAAGAAATTGTCGACAGCCTCATCGAAACATTGTGGTCATTTGTGAGTTATATTTTGTATATTTATATTAGGTTTCTGTGTGGATTCCCTTACAAATTATTTATAGATTCTTTAATCAATTTTATTAATAGGTCAAAAATTGCTTATTACCAAAAGAGATAACTGATTTTGTGAACAATTCTTCGAGAATATTTTGTATACATTTTTGTAACACAAATATATTAATTACTTATAATAGAGTAATGTGTTGCAAGAATTTAAAAAAATTTATCAGAAAACATGCGTAATTATAAATACACAATTTAAAAATAATAAATATAAAATGAAATTTATATCACACAAATTTTTGTTTCTTAAATATTTTTCCTTCAAAAATGTATACATTGCTTATAAGAGGGAAGGAGAGAAAAGATTTGCAAACTAAATTATGAACATACGACAAAAAATGTATGAGAAAATATTGTGAAAATATCTACGCGAAATTTTTGGCTGTAATTGTGATCTTAAAAAATATACATTTATTTTTAAACAAATTAAATTACTTATTACTAATAAGTTTACACATGAATTATTGGGACACTGATCGAATAGTGTCAATATGCCATTTACTTCGAGTATTTGCACTAATAAGATAGAATAGCGGTAAGCGGATCATCGACAAACCAGTTTTAGCACCGTGTACACGCGACTTATTATTCATTACTGCAACAAAGTTAATCCCGGATAAATTTCCCGACACGGTTTGCTGAGTGTGCCAAGGAATCAATTAAGTCACCACATCGCGAGAGATCGATGAATCGTGTCGCCCGATTTATCGCATTGCAGACAGCACAAGATATAGCTGTTTTTCTTATTTTTTCTTTTGTTTTGCTCGTCGAATGCAACATTACAGTAAAATCCAGTCTTCTTTCTTTAAGTATATATATAGGGTATATATATATGTATGTAGTATCTAAACACAATTTGTTTTTCTCTGTCATCGAGAGCAATAATCGTCGAGATATCGTTTTGTATCGCGTCAAATTTAGGGAAATATTAAATAGCTAATAAAAATTCGACAAATCTATTGTCAACTGTATAACTATCGAATGCTGGTTTTAGTCTGCGCTAAAATGAGCTACAGTAAGGTGCTGCCACGCGTGGTTGTGTCTCTCAACTAAAATATGTCAAAGTCACATGGGTGTTGAGAGCCTACAGTAGGTCTGTATTTCCATTTATGCATCCTCTGCATTTAAATGAATCGATGTAGGTATGCAATAAACAATTGTACAAAGTGGCAAAAAATAAGTCTAATAATAAAACGAATAAAATATAATATAATAATACCTATACATAAATAAGAATATAAATAAAATACTCGTTTATTTTAATTTGTAAAAAAATATTTAGCAATATATGGCATGAAGTATTTTAAAAAGTATTTTAAATTAATAACAATAATGCAGTATATAATTTTTCGTATATCTTAGATTAATATAGAAAATAAATAAAATAACACACAAAATTTTTCATGATTATTAGCATATGACAGTATTTTTCAAAATTTTTTTATTGTTTAATCAAATGAGAAATATTTTTACCGGCTCTCAATATTAAGAATAATATAACTCTCAATATTAAGAATAATATTTATATTATTTTTTATTGTTATTCAATCTTTTTATGTTTCTATCCTATTTTGTTCCAGACTTTTCTGCTTCATAATGTTTCTTGGCGGAGAAAGAAGAACAAAGTTAAGACAGATATTATTCAATTAAATATGAATTTTATTAGAAAAAAAATTCTTTAACGCGATTGAATTTAAAATTACTCGAAATTTTTCAGCGAGTATTATTCGGACGTCATTTTGGGATTATTATAAGTATGTTATTATAGTCTTTCTGAGACTGCAAGAGAAGGTCCGACGTGACACCTGGGCTAGATTGAAAGTTGCGGTAGGTCGGGGTCGAGGTCGCAGCTTCCCATCGATCTGACCTCCGAATTCGCACTGATCCATGAAGGTCGTCAGAACGGAAGTGTCGTTCTTTTATCGTCGAGATGACGCCTCTTATTTTCTACTTCACTTCCCCTTGAGAAACTTAGTACCGATCAATTTCTAATCTAAGATAATGCATCCTTCTTTTCCCTTGTCAAACACTTCTTAAGCGATGTGTAATTTTAAATTTAATATTTTAATCCAAACATCTTTATAACTAATAAATTTAAACTGCAAATTTTCGAAGTGTAAAACACACTTGAAATAATAATTCGTTAAACTGTAATAAGAATCTCTTAGTTTCGCAGAAATATATTTATTTCGAATCATAATCGTATCTTTTTTGAAAGTGACACGACTCGTAATCAATTCAAGAATGCGTAAATGGGGCAGCAATAAGATTTATATTATAATCAAAGAAAATTTTTTAGAATATCTATTTTTGCCCGATCTCAGAAAAATTGTTGCACTGGACAGTGATAATTTTACTCTCACGGCTTGTAAAGTATCGAACGCAGTGAGCCGCGGCGATAGTCGATTAACGAGGGATATAGTCTAGGTTTTGCTGAAATCGATTACGGAATCCCACGGTTCTCGTTTGCCATAGAAAACACTTTCGTTTCAATCTCGTCGCACTTTAACACGCGCGTTAACGACTATTATTTAATCTTTTGCATATATAAAAATTGCAACGAAATAATAAATCAATTAGACTAGTTTTATGATCTCGTTGCATTTATTAAAATGCGAAGATTGACAGAAATTTGTGTTCTAGCAAATTTATCTCTCTTAGCGAAAATAGCGATTTTTGTTCTTTTACATATATATCATTTTTAAAATTAATTGGCCATAATTAAACTTCAAATTAAAAATATGGAATTTTATAAATTAGAATGAGAAAAAATTATAAAATAAAATTTTATATGGAATTCAGAATTAAGATATTTAAATTTATGTTAAAAATAGCTAAAAAAAATTTAAACGCATTAAAATAAAGTAAAAATAAATTTTATAAATATTTCTTAAAAATAAAATATGTATATGCGATCTCCAAGAATTAAAAGAAAAATCTAGATACACGTGTACATAAGAACATTCATGTGCTGATATATGTATAAACTTGCAAAAATAGACGCTAAATGCGCAACGGTGTTTTCTAAGTGCGCAATAGTGTTTTGGCAATGGATCAGGTCATACAGTTCCTTTCTAGAATAATTCGAACATCGTTGGCAATATTATTACGAAGGCATAAATAAACGACTTTTTCGAAAGTGCATTAAAAAAATATTAAATCAATTTCGATATTACAATCTGCACTTTCAGTACTTAAAGATACGCCTTGTCCTATAATTCATTGATAAGAAATACTAGGAAAGAATGTGCGTGTTTATTAAAACAGAATTTTTCCTTCATTTCATTATCACGAAAAATACTTAGAACACTTTTGTAATTTTCTAATTTTCTCATATGCGTACAACTATGTACGAGAATGACTATATATATTATAGAATTATCAAGGATACTGCAATTATAAATGACCATGAAACTAACAAATATGCAATATTTTTAAATGCGCTAAATGAATTCATGCGCGCAGTTAAGAGTAATTAGCATTGTGACGATAAAAGCCTGTGCGTTGAAATCCACTTTTATTATACATAGAAAAATTTTTATATATGACAAAGTTATTTTTTTAAAGTGCGTACTTTTTTAGTTTTTCAAAATTAGTTTCAAGTTTCATCTTCAATTTCCATCTATAATTATTTCAAATGTCACATCTACGATTCGAGAAATGTAATATCATCAAAAGTTCAAAGTTTGACAAAATTACTATTTTTTTAAACGCGCGTACTTTGCTTTTAATTTTCTTAAATTAATTTCAAGTCCTATCTTTAACTTTTATCTATAATTATTTATTCCAAATGTGACGTCTACGATTCGAGAAATGCAATATATCAAAAGATCAAAGTTTGACAGAATTACTATTTTTTTAAACACGCGTATTTTTCTCTTAATTTCCTTAAATTAATTTGAAATTCTATCTTTAACCTCAATCTATAATTATTTATTCCAAATGTCACGTCTACGATTCGAGAAATGCAATCGTGAAGAGATCAAAGTTAAGCACTGCAGACTCGACGAGATCAGCAAGTCTCTTCCTGCTTCACGTTACTCCACGCTAGTTTCGCACTTAGTCACTTCGCGATATTCCTTGTCAGAATTATTAAGTGCACTCGGGAGACAATCCCGGAACACGTCGTCCAAGCGGACCTCGCTCAATGCATTATACGATGCACCGTCGAAGTCTCAGTGAGAGACCGACCCTGACCTATCCCACGTACAAATGTCGTAAAAGTCTCGCACGGATTGCGAAAGTCTTAGCTTACAGAACCGATACGTGGTCTCTCTTTTCTTCCCATTCTCGCAAATAGGAGGCGTTTACGCGCCGTGTAAAACCCGATGAACTCGCTTGCATTCGCGAGGCGGATAATTACGGGTTTTCGATAGAGCCGGGGCGCATATTTATCGAGAATCTGCTCCGAGGAAGGTTTAATCTGAACATTTTCTCGAATGCTCCAGTAAGAAATGGGAACAATGCCTCGGCTCAGATTAGATCATAATTCAACTTGACATAACAATTCCATCGAAAAATTAAAATCGTAATATTTTTTCCGATAATATACCGAGATATCTATCTCCATATATCCTAATTGAATCTCATTCAGATTCAAAGCTCAAGATGATTTTTGAATGTCTTAACATTATTCTTTCACAGGACACCCGAGATTCTGCCAGGGGTCCTTAAGGGGATGCTGCCGTTGTTCTGTTTTACCGATTTTAAGTTAGATTAGGTTCACTCTTTATTGAATATACAGATTGAAGAATCTTTTGATACAGGCTTTTAATCTCGTTTTTATTACTTCTGTATTATTCTTTCGTGTCATCTCTATTGGGAGCGCCATATTTTGTGCACAAATAAACTGCAGAACTTTTGTATTAAATAAGTATTGTTATGAGCTGATGCAAGAGGCCGATTAAAAAACTGTAATTTTGAAACTTTTATTACTTTTTATACGAAATTGCAGCGCTCCCCGTTTATTATTATCAGTACTTTAATTGTGGAGGATTTTTCGCAATAAAAAGAACAGCCCTTGAACTCAAAGTTGATAAAACAATCATGGTCAGCATCCCCTGAAATTTTTCATAAAATGCAACTTACCTTTTCAAGCTGGCGTGCTTCGCACCGTTCAGGATCTTGTTCTTGCGCTCGCTGCCGGCGGTGCTGGCGTCGCTATCGATGCTGTAGAGGCTGTCGTCCTTGGTGACTCTGCTGGCGTTGTGCAGGGTTGACTTCCTCGCGGTGCTGGTGCCCGAGGTGCCGTTGTGCTTCGGGCTCTCGATCGGCCGAGGAGAACCGTGGCGGATAGAATCGCCGCCGGACGAGTCCTCGATCCTGGTGGAGACGATCATGGTTCTAGTCGCGTCCGGACACTTCCTGGGGGACGTGCTCACCACGGTGGTGCTCTTCTGCAGCTGCTTATTGCCGGTCGCGCGATAAGTGTTCTGCTGGCTGCTAGGCGGTGGCTTGTCCTCCGAAGGCACCATATACGACAGCATCGTCCCTTTTTCCTTCACCTGGACGCGTGATATAGCAAACACGAATACGGAAATTCAGTTATACGATATATGTATACGACGCCGATCGGTAGAAGACTGGGGAGTCATTAACCGCTGCGGCATCGCGGTGAGAAAAATACGAAGCGACACAAAAGAGATCAATCGAGGGTCGTCGGAGGCGGATAGAAAAAGTATACCGTTCGCGGTAATAAGAGCATGACGGCAAACCGGTTGATTAATGTTCTGAGAGAGAGAGACGCAGTTAGAAAGTAAATAATATATATATATACTCGGAACAACATTGGGAGAGATTTGGATGGTGCTTCGAATCAAATGTCAGTGATTGAAAAATGTTCAGATACTGTATTTACTTATATGTAAAAATGTTTATTTCAAATCGAGTCTTGGATATTAATAGACAATTTTTTAAATGTCAAATATCTTTCAAAAAATCTTAATAATATTAAAATAAAGAAAAAGTATATTATAAAAATTTCAATTTCAGATTCGATGAAAAAAAAATTAAAAAAGAAAAGTTTTCAGCATTATCTGCACTTTTCACACCATTTTGCAAATAGAATAATCAGGTAATTCTTTTGAGCAGTACTCCGAAAAAAAATTATTTCTCTCGCTAACCACAAATCTAATTTTTCAAAAAAATTCTTTAGAAAAATTTCAATAATATCAACGTGAAGAAAAAATACATTATAAAAATTTCAGCTTCAGATTCGACTTAGGAAAATAAAAAAAGAGACATTTTCAGCATATTATTTGCACTTCAATTTTCACACCTTGGTAATCCGATAAATCAAACAAAAATCCTGTTGTGAGAAATTTAATCGAAAATGTCGAGCTGTACAATATCGAATCGAGGCAGTCGATTCCATTAAGCGTGCAACGACGAGAAGAGCGAACAATGGCGAGCATTATTCCTGGAGTATTAAAAGGATTAAATCGCGATTCGATATCTGGTCGAAGGATTTCACGAAGTCACATGTGCCATCTATAATAGTCTACGTTATTATTAGCGCGATAAGTCAATCGTCTTCTGTCAAACCGGTGTATCCTTGTCGCGAGTGTCTTTGTCGACAAACGTCATTATTATTATCATCATCATCATCATCGTCATCATCATCATTGTCGTTGTCAGCGAGTAACTGTATCTAATTTGCCCGCTACGATGCTACACAAATACCCGCGATCAATCGAAAGAAGAGCGCACGCGAACGAAACGATCCGCTTTAAATGCGTTTACATAGTCACTGACTGACATAGACCCGACGTCGGGCTCCTATCTTTAGGCGCCGCCGCGTCTTTGACAACAAAGCCCGCGCACGATATCGGACGTAAAAACGATGGGGAACATTGAATTGGGCATTTAACAACAACGCAAAGCTCGTAAAACGTAAAAATCGGCGCGTAAAGCATATAGTTGATGTAGTCGTGTAGTTGTTGTAGTCGCGAAGTTAGCTAACTGGGAGTTGGAAAACAGCAGCGGACATGAATGGAGAAGAACTCGGATATTTTTTAAATATAATAACATTTTAAATTGTTAAAAATATATCAGGCAACAGGAGATTTTAGCATTAAATCTCTGATCGATATACGAAAAAAAAATTAATTTCCTTGACCAAAGCAAAACTAAATAAAAATTATAGCTACCATAAAGGCTACCATAAATTTTTTTAGCTGTCCATATATTACAACCTAAAAAGTTATCATGCCTAAATTTTAGCTACGGTGATTAATATTTTTTGAACTATAATTTAATGGAAAATGCTAAAAAGTATTAGCTAAAATTTAGACATTATAACTATATTTCATGTGTAATATACAGACAGCTAAAATTTAGCTAATTTTTTTCTAAGCGGGAGAATTTCTGAAGAATTTTTTTCTTTGCGAAAGTATCGCAAAGTTATGACTTTGGTATCGCGACGTTTATCACTCACACATGAAAACTTTACGGGGTGATTATGTCTCTCGTGGCGCAAGCTCGGTCTCAGACGTCGTCTGCGGGTTCAAATCGCACACTTGCAATTGCGTTTAACGAGCGCCGCGAAGCTGAGATTGGCACGTGATCGCGTTCGTACGAAATGATTCTGGCGCATCAACCCTTCAGACACGTACACGTCATGTTTACGCGCATCTAACGGAGAATCGAGATCACTGTGTCGCGATACATAACGAGTGACTTATAATTACGGCGGGGTCTGTCTCCGATACTTCTAACGCGATTATGAGCATCGTGTCACTTTGGTCAGAGCGATGCGAGGGAAGGTTCGCCAGAGTAGAACGCCGGACCGCAACTGAGCACGATGCAAAAGCGAGGCAAAGGTTACAGACGGACGCGGCCGACTATAGCTATATCTACTCTACTCCGTTCTACGCCGTTCGCTTCCGTTCTAGACGCTTCATGCCATCATGGCTCCAGCCGCGCGCGTATATCAATTCCGAGTTCTCTCTCTCTCGTATCGTCCTCCCGAGGCTCCCATGCATCTTTCACCGTGCATCGGGGTCCACTCTCTCGAGTTCTCGTTTCTCTCCTAACCCTCTTCCTAAACGCGAATTCGGATCTCTAATATTCATTCGAGATAGCGAGATTTTCTATTCGACTCGTGCACCCGCGGCTTCGTTCGATCGTTAATGTTACATCGAGGGCAGCAGGTTGCAAGTATATTTTTTTTGCACGGTTATATACACGAGACGCGCGAAAGTGGATCGATTGTGCAAAAAGCGGTAAATTGGGAATCGCCATGATCGCCGACGGGTGATCGTGTCGACCGATGGACCATTTTTTCAGCGCTCCTAATTGCTTTCTCCCGGAGAAGTACTTTCTCCATGTTCCTGAACGTGCGTTTAGCGCTAAGATTCTCTGTTGCGTAATCTCTTTTCAAAGATAACGTTTTTTAATTAAATATTAAATATAACATTTTTAACATATTCTTATTTAATTTTGGAATATTTTAAGAGATACCAAGATGCATCTCAGATAAATATTAAATTTCTGTGTGTGATTTTTTTATCAATATATCCGATGAAAATAAGTTTTACATATTTACTTTGATCTAAAATGAAACATCTTTGGGCCTGTCACAATATTCCGAAACTAAATAAGAATACGTGCTAGAAGAAGAACACTTGTAATCATTGCAGAGGAGATAAAATATTAGGTACGATCGTCGCGAGTAAGTCTACAATTTATGATTTAAAATTTGGTTCTTTTAATAAGATTACAATGAAATTAATTTATATTATACCGAACAAAATTGTATATTTCAATATTAAAAAAGGATTTAATAATTCTTCAATATACATTTATTTTTTATTATATTATTAATGAATAAAAAATATAGTATATTAATTAATTATGTATAATATAAATAAAAATTAGATAAAAATAATTGCACCACAACACGCATAATTATTTTCTTTTAATAATTTCTTAATGACATAGAATTGAGACGCGCTTATTTTGTAACTAAATGTATACTATTGCACTCCCTAATCTTCGTCGATTTGCGATATTTCCCGAAGGGAAATTTCGCGATACTTCCGCGGAACCGAAACGCTCGATTGCATCGCGCGTGCAGCTAAACTACAGGTGCATTCCTCGAACAGCAATGGTACCATCGCGCGTTGCGATAGTAGTCATTCAACCTGCTCTTTCCCATGCGAATCCTCGCTTGGTTTAAAGAGCCCCGCAGCCCTTCCGTGCGTGAAGAATTTCACGGCTGAATCGGCTCCCATTCGCTCCCGTTACGCGACTTTGCCCAACACGCGAACTCGATTTTCCTTCGACAAATCACGGTCACGGATATATTTTCGAGACTGCGCTCGCGGACTTTTCCGAGGCGAGCTTGCGGCCAATTGACCCTTTAACCGACTTTACGTTTCTTAATAATGTCAAGCAGATCTTTCACAATCGCGCATCTAGTAATTTATAAAAGTTACGAAGGTGTGAAAATTTCTATATATATATTTTTAAAATAATTGTTAATGTTAACCTTAAGGTGATCCTAAACGTCTGTTGTTTCTTTCCTGTTTTATCGACAAAATGTGAGGTTAGATAAACTATAAATCTATTTATTGGCCACACGGATTGTTTTTGACCTGATTTTGAATTAGAACCCTTCGCCCTTTGTTAATATTAATACTTTAATTTGTACAGGAAAAATTCATCAACAACAATCCAACCAATAAATAGATTTATAGTTTATCTAACCGCACATTTTGTCGATAAAACAGGAAAGAAACAACAGACTTCTCAAAAACGTTTAGGATCACCTTAAAAGGACAAAAATAAAAATTTCTTTTATGTCAATGTTTAATAATTTTTACGTTGATATATTGAAGAAAATTTGACGCGAAGGGAATTGCTTTTTATCGTAGATAAATGCGAAATAATTCATATTTGATGTACTCACGTTTGCGCTAAGAAGTACTCAAAGCAAGGATGTCTAGAGTGTCTCCTCGATAGAGTAGCATCGGGATTATCTGAAATTGCAATTTGCATCGGTTAGAATATCTCATTAATTTCTTCAAAAAAATTCAAATAAATTACTTTTCTAACAAAATTTATCAAAAATATAATATACATTTATAAAATTTTATTTTATTCATACATTTTTATATAAAATTATTTTATAAAAATATATTTTTATAAAATCTATATATAAAACAATATTGTTTCTAATATATATATATATATTTATCGTATTTTTTTTAAGTTTTACTTTGAAATCATTACAGTTCCATTTTTCACGACGATCTTTCAAAACACTGATTCAAAAGTATATACTTTTGAAGATTTCAAGTTTGCATTTTACTATAACTACTAGCTCATGACTCTGAATACTATCCATATATTTCCTAAAATTGAAAACACTAGATATATTGGTTTAGGAACGACGAAGCCGTCTTCGAAACAGCCTATTACTCGAGAATAAAGAGGACGTTTACGTCGTCGCGAAGCAGCGCGAAGAGATGCTTGCTTTTTTCCTCTCTCAAAGCGAGGAAAAATGAGGGAAACGGGAGGAAGAAACGATCTCGTCTTTCGCCTGAATGGACACCTGTTTTCGCGGACAGGTGACATCACGCACACGCGGGCGTGAGAACCCGAGAACGGACGTGCCGAGGGCAATGACTTGTGCAACACCGACATGCGCCGAGAAATGAATGCCCGCGAGGCCGAAGAGATTTGCTTCGAAGGAAAAAGAATCCTTCAATGGAATACTATTGTGTATGACCATTCTTACACAGTTATATTATACATACGATAACGATTCGCAGACAGACACAAGTTTGACATCGCGTGCGCGCAGCAGTCCGATAAGGCCGGCTTTTGTAATAAAATAAAACCCCGGCTAGCCAATATCTTGGAAGCTACACACGCGTGATAGGAGAACCGCACGCAGGTGTACTCGCAGAACCTCGTAGTGCATCAGAGAATTAAGAGCCCCGGCTTATCCGCGCAATTACTTTACGCTCGGGCAACCGCGTCGCGCGATAACTCGATTCCGCTTATCACCTGCGTGTGAGTCACTTTACCTTGTGCCAAGGTCGGACGGAGACAAACGCGTGACCATGTTATTTTTTTGCATTATTTGCATGACAAATGAGCGCCGTCTGAACTGTCCGATAAAAGAGAGCAAGAAACTTAAAGCAGTCGATTATTCATTCCGCGTACTATTGACATCTTCAAGGATGTACTACGGTGAATATATTGACGAATAAAGTATTGTTAAAGATAACAATAAAATAGTCGCGTTTTCAGAGTTAAATTTTGCAGAATTATTGTTGTATACAGAGAGAATTTTCTCTTAGAATTTATCCTGAAAATCATGGTCATGGACAATATGGTATTGAAAGAATTTTATAACAATTTCTTTGATTAATATTTACCACAATAAAAATAGTAATATCTACCACAATAAAATATAAAATATGTTCGAAAATTTAGTATGTACATACTAAAATTTACTACACTGAAAAAAAAAAATGATTTGACTTAACAAAATCCGCAGTCGGATACGTATAAATAAATATTAATTTAATAAGAACTAAATATTTTGTTTAATTGCAATGTTAAAAACAAAATATTTAGTTCTAATTACATTGATATTTATTTGTATGTATCGATCGCAGATTTGTTGTCAAATAATTTTTTTTCAGTGTATGTATACGTATTAATATTTTTTATTGTGATAAATTAGAGAAATTCTTATGATTACCATGATTTTCAAGGTAAATTCTATATAAGAGAAAATTCTCTCCGTGTATAAATTGAGAGAAAATAATAAAAAAATAATTATATATATTGACAGAATATTCTATATAGCTCTTGACCTAGTTTTGTTTCATTTATTTCGTGCATACATTTGGGAGATGCGAAAAAATTGCTACAAATTATATGCGCAACGATGGCCGTCGCGATTACGGCGCAATGATGCAATGCGGTTGAATACGCCGGGGCGCTAAATTGATAAATTTGCATGCCCCGTAGTCGCGCTCGCACGCGGTGCAGCATCCTCGTGCTGCACGACCGAAACAGGCTTCGCCTCGAGAGCGGAATAAATCCCATCGCTCGCATAATGCAGACGAAGCGCAGACGACGATAAATCAGCTTCTTCGAGTATTCGAAATGCGTTAGTACAATCGAGGATGTAAAACAGATGCATGAAACGATGCATCAATTGATACGAAATTACGTATCTCTGAATCATCATCTCTTTTTTCTCGATACACAGAAATAAAAGAAATAAAGAAAGTAATAAAAGAAAAGAATAAAAGAAAATATTTTTATAAAATAATGTTGCATGTTTGCACGGGAAAAATATCCAGCCATCATGGCTAAATTTTTAGTCATTATTGTAGCTGAAATTTTAGGTAATTAAATTTTAGGTATAATAGAAGAACCGCTAAAATTTAGCTATAGTGGCTAATATTTTTTTCCCATGTAATTTGCAAGAATTGTACAAGTATACGAAAAAAAATTAACCATAATAATTTTTTTTTGCAAACGTAAAAGAAATAAAAATTAAAATAAAAAAAAAAATTCAAGCTAATCTTATTTTTTATGCGATAAATAAATTTTATGGAAAAAAAATTCTTATTAATATTCATTGTATCATATTTAAATATTTTATCGCAAAATGCGAAAAGAACTTGGCACATGTGCGCGGATGACAGGAGCTAGTTTATTCTCGCGAGAATTTAACGCTTTACGGTGATGAAGTGACGCAAATTTTTCGGACGATTATAGTTACGACTAGAGAATATAAGTAGCTTACGTATACGAAACGATCGGCGAATGACATCATCGACTGCCATGCTCGTCGAGAAACGTTTACGCGAATGTTTGCCTCGCTGCCAGATGCTATGTCGTGTCGCGTATTTTTATCGGGTGGAGAAATCGAATATCGCGAACATCACGATTATTAGGCGTGAACTTTAAGCTCTGTCAATTGCGAGAAAGAGAGAGAGAGTGTGTGCAAATTTAACATACTTTTCGAAATTATTCCTGTCGTTATTAAGTATTGTTCGAGTTTGTATATTCAAACGAGGATGTTGTAGATATAGTTTGAAAGAGTGAAATCACTGGCAAGGGTCAAAACTGCCGTTTCTGCAACGATTATGTTTCTGCTCACGAACACGGTTTCACGACACGTGCATTGCAAACGCGGATGAAATCATCGCGGTGACGTCAACATCTGATTACGCAAACGCTCACACAATTTTTCCGCCCGCCCCCGCTTGTCAGATGAATGGACAATCAATTGTGAAAAAAAGATCTAGAATTTTACGAATAATTAATCTAAAAGTTGTCAACTTGCAAGATTTATAACTTTGTATATTTAAAACCAAGTTTATACATTCTTGAATAGCAGGGTGTCCAGCAGACTCAATAAAAAAAAATTCTCTGACTTTTTCAGATTTTCCGCAAGACCAAAAATTAATTTTTTCCCTGACTTTTTAGTATTATTTTTTCCATATATATAATTTGCATATATCTATATGATAAATAAATTAAATGTTAAATCATAAAATCCTTGAGATATTTTTGTCAACAATAAAAAGTTCGAAAGTTAAAACAAACATTTAAATCAATCATACAATCTGCATTATGTATACGATAATCAAAACAAACATATCACTATAAACTATGTAAATAATCACCCTTTTTATTTATATTATATCAAATTTTTTAATTTTGTCTCTATCTAATACATTGAAATAAAATAACACGACGATGAAAATATAAATTAACGAATACGCTGTAGATGAATCGTTTTCTAACAACACAGAAAATTAGCGTGCTGGGAGTCAAGAAAAAGTTTATATTTATTTTAAAAAAATATTTATTTAAAAGTTTATATTTACTTTAAAATAGCTCGTCATTATGGCCTTTTATTTGATTTTTGCGTTGTGCATAAATATGAGCATATTGAGATTTTTTTACTATCTTTTATTTATTTATTTAATTCTTAGTATATTTATTTAATAAAAAAATTCAAACTATTAAGACAAATGTAGAAGAATGTGAAAAATCCAGATAAATAGTAAAATTTTCTGACTTTTCCCTGACAATTCCAGATTTATAAAATTCCCTGACAATGCCCAGTTTACCAGATTTCCCCGACCGCTAGACACCCTGTTGGCTAAAAAAATGTTGACTATAGCATCTTCTCGATCTATGTACATACAGATTTATGGATCATTGATCATCAATTTTAAATATTCAAGTGAAGCAAGCTGTGAAGTGTAATTTCGTAAAACGAGCCCATATGTACCATATACCTAAGCAGCCTCTCTCTCTCTCTCTTTGAGCTCAGACCGACGCGTCTCGTTGAAATATCATCGTCGGATACCATTTTTCATCGTCGGACAGGGTTACACCTATATGCACCTATGCACGCACTTCCGCTCTCGGACTGGTATGGTAGACTATATATTTCCAGCCGCAAAGTTGATTCACGGGACGACCCGCGTCCAGGAATAGTCGATCACAATAAAGCCGGCGCGTAGGAAGACTCGTTCGACTTTCATTACCGATCTCCTCCATAGTCGTCGTGAAAACCGACATTTACAGTTACGTATGGCGAGACTCGGAGCAAGAGAGCGCGAACTCCCATTAAAGACTGCATTATACTATCGACGGGGACCCCGCGATATCCAATTATCCTGCCATCTAATCTAATCCGACACAGCAATTACAACTAAGTCGTCCTGCCGGTGCTTGTTACCTCTCGCTTCGGTATCTTGAGGCGGGAAAACGCTCGCGAAGTCTTGTTACACAGGATGCTTTATAAGGCTCGCCTAGAACGTCGGCGATGGAGCTTTTTCTGACGAACCTGCTCGCGAAAGAGGGTTAACGAATTCTGCCAAGTTTCAGCTTTGCGAACGCTAATGGAAGATAAAAACTTCAATTTTCCAATTTATAACGATCTAATAATTTCGAATAAATTTTAGATGAAAATTCAACCTGTTTTTCAGAC